GCCAGCAGCAGGGTAATACAGTGCTGATTCTCAGCCCTTGCTGAATATCAAAGTCCATCAGCCTTCTGATGGACTTCTCGCATTTATATGTTAACTACTTGTTGGTCTTTGCCTCCAGCCTATCCCCCTTTTGGTTTTCTAATAAATTTAGAAAGGTGTATGCCATTCGCAGAGCTCAGGTCCTTTTAAGATTTTTAAATTTAATGAAAAGGATTGAGTTTTTTTATGTCCTTTTAAATTGCTGTCAGGCATCTAAGGAACCAGTTTGCAGTAGGCTCCTTTCTGGGCCATCAGTTCTTTCACTCCCCTTTCCAATCACTGTCCCCTGTGACATGATAGTTCTGGGTGGTGGACAAACAATGGGCAATGACAATACAGGTCCAACCTTCTTTGGCTTTGTCCAGGGCAACCTGCACTGATGCACAGCTGATGACTGCTAGCATGGCAAGGCGTCTTTACCATCTCCCATCTCTGGACTGTTTCTCCTCCTGTCTCGTCAGCGTGTTGCTTGCGGCTACTGCTATTTGGGGCTGGAGTAGTCTGTCTGTAGCCACAGGTACAGGGTGGGCAGTTGCTCTCTCAGATTTATTGTTGCAAGAATCTACCCAGGCTTGGAGGAGTTTTCTGGAAATACACAGCATATCTTCGACCAAAGGTTAATAAAGGGATCCTTCTATAAACCAAACTCAGGATCTTTTCATTTAACCAAATCATTTTCCTTTGGCTTATTCTGACACCATGGGTGTCTTGCCATCAGCATTACAAGTGAAAAAATTTTAAAGTAATTAAGGCTTGATGTAATTTACTCACAGGAGATTGCTATCCCTCCTTTTTTGTTTTAAATTGGGAGCATGCAAGTGGGACATTCCTTGAACTTATTGCATGATAAGCAGCTTTACTATAAGATGAACCATAAATAAAAAATAGTTAATGCTCCAGGAATAGGTTCCTGCCTAGTACAACTAAGTAACCCTGAATATTCACTTATTTCAATTTGCCAATTTAAATCAGTCTGAAATAAGGCTTATTTTCTAACTTCACTTGTCCTTGGATGTGGACAGTAAATGACACTAATTGGACTTCTGCTATCAGTCTTTGAGTATATTGACATAAGCTTTGTTAGGGAAGCAAAATACAAATTATTTACTTAGATATTTGAAGGGAATCTCCTGTTTTTTCTCCTAGAATAATTTCTAGACCACATTTAGGGAGTTTATTTTAAAAACTTTTATCTTTCTCTTAAAAGGAGCAACAAACTTGGTTGTTTTTTAGATGCTGGCCAATACTGTAATGCATACAAATCAAGTAAAAGTAACTCTCTTTTTACCTTTGGTGACTTATTAATGATGAGATTTAATGCTTGAATAATAACCTTTAGTTTACTTTGTAAATAGTAGCGGAAGAGATTTTAAAATGTCTCCTTTTCATTAAGTTTAAAATTTACTCTTAAATAGTATTCTTTTTGGCTAGTGATAATTTGCATACATATGCAAATTTTTACTTTGGCCTTTGTTAAGATCTAATTACTTATAAAAATATTGATGTCTCATATAACTGAGTTTATATGAGACCTTGATTATTTTGTAAAAAGCTAATTTATTAAGTAATTAAAGTATGCACCTTTATTGAAAAAGCAAACATATATTTGACCTATGAAGTACAGATGCTGCCCTACCCCCTTAGCCTATTTAAAGAGCAGACTGCCTGAGGGTTTCTTGAAATTCTGCTGCTGAATAATCTGGTTTTGCTTAAAAGTATTTAGCAACTTTGTCCTACCCTCCCTTAGAGGTTGAAACTTTTACAACATTTAAAATATATGTATATAAATAAAATGTAGTTATTAATTTTTATTTGATAGAGCTTTCCACATGATTTCAAGTATATTAGATTGGCCTAATTGGGTTCAAAAATATTTCTTTTAAGACAAGAGTAAATCCTTGAATCATTCCAGGGCCCTTGTAATGTCCCAAGGCTATCTCTCAGTTAAAGTCTTGAAATTTAACTTAGAAAGACCATCAAATATACATAACCCAAATATTATATCATATATTCTTTGTAATTATTCTAAAATATATTAATTAAATTTAAACTGGTTTTTATATTAAAAATTTGGTTCAG